TATAATTATATAGCATAAGATAATGTTGCGGGTCACAAAATTCATATATGAAGAGCATTGTGCGATGTATATAGTTTATCCCACAATGTTCTATATATATGGATGTTTTGACCCACAATTATTTACAATATTTTTAATATTAACTCAAAAATAATATTATATATTATATAAGGACCATATATAATGCCTAAATAATGAATATGGCATAGCTATGCAATTTAGAAATGCGAGATCCCACAAACCAGCTTAGAAGCTCGGTGCCCACAAACAACCTCATATACCTATATATATATATATATATATATATATATATATATATATATTTTTTTTTTTTTATTTTTTTTTTTTTTTTTTTTTTAAAAAAATGGGCGTACATAGCCTTAAAATAAAAAAAAAGAATTCAGCTACTTATTTATATTGTACGCTGTCGGTTTTTCCATTTTATTTTACGCACATCTAAGAGAACCATGACTGAAAAAAGAAAAAAAGTGAATCTTAAATGCCTCAGAAGGGAAATATTAAAACTGTCATATTTACATGTATAATATTATGTTTAAACTCGGGATTTGGAAGATTTCAATAGACGTGAATTTAGCATGTGTAACTTTTAGTATGCCCTCTTATTGAAAGTCGACATTCCAATGTCTCTTATATTTTTGTTTATTACCCGGTATGTTTTTTATGGATTCTTAGGATTTAAAATATCATTCAATTTTTTTAGAATAAACATGATATTAAAGATGAGATTTCTGGAATAACCATGTCAAAACCTCAGAAAGGTTCTCCTTCATGTATCTTAAGTTTGAATTAAATATCCGCATTTGTAATCAATACGAGTGTAATTAATGTTAAAAATAAGATATCATTAAATCATATATATTTTTTTTAATTCTGTTTAAACAGATCGAAAATGATACACATGTAAAAAAAAGATATCAATGGACATATAACAATAGAATTGATTTAAGTTTAATATTTAACGTTATCATTTAAGTTCATTCTCTTTGATAATTTAAACGTGTAGAGAAATAAAAAAGACTGTCCTTCCAAAAAAAGCACATCAATCTATTTATATGCATGGACAGATCTATGCAACCAAAGATATAGTCAATTGTGTGTTCCCATTATGGCGCGTATTAAAAACAATGCATTGTAGGAATGACAAAAGGCTGTGTAGCTTTGAAGAATAAAAGTTTTGAAATCCTACCGTGTAATGTACAAATCGATAGCAAATAATTTGTAGGTCTTAAAAACACTGCATGTACATGCATTTACATGTCTTTAAACGTTACTAAAACGGCGTAAGTCTTCGGGAAACTATACATCAATACTCCCATTTTGACCAAAAAAAAAAAAAACAATAAAAAGAAACAATAGCATTTAAAACTAAACTGTGTTCACAGTGAATATATTTTATTAAAAATCAAGATCGAATTATTGTTATAACAAATATCAAGATGAAGTGTTATAGTAAGAAAACTGCAAATCATTGCTTCAATTGCCCTTCTAGATCATATCAAGTTCACCTACACAGAACATCATATTTAAGACTCATGAGTGACTAACAAGGCCATAGATATGTGGATGTAATTTTCATAAATCAAATTAAATGGGCGCTTATGAGCCGAAATTGCTTTAAAATTCCTATCCAAATGTAAAAGCAGTTTCAAAGATGTTACGTACTTTGTTAAGAAATACTGTACATTTTTTGTAATATAATTTATTGTTTTTTTTTAATTATTATTGCCGTTGTGACCATCCATTCAGGTATGGCTAGAACGTCCAAAATCTAAATAATAATTAAAAGAACATATCGGATAATTAACAAAAAGGAGATCTCAGAGTCTTAAATTTTATTCAACATTTCTAAATTTTAATGTTGTTAAAAGATGCTTGGTGAACATAAAATTTGATATAAGGAACGCATTGATTTGCGTATATGCATGTTTTGTAAAACGTACAGCTCCCATACTTTGCTTTTGTGTTCCGAAGGAGACTACCGTAGTGCAGAACATACAATCGTTGTTCTAGAATTATAGAAATATTTACTTGAAATAAGTTTAAAGTAAGTAAAAGGTAAAATCTGGTTACATTCCCATTAAACTGAACTCCACCAAACGTTCTGGACATCATTTAATCGTTATTGTTATATTAGTTTCTTTCAATAAATTTCTTTTTTGTAGGACCCACAAGTATGCATTCCTTTACTATGCTAATAATTTTTTTTGTGGAATTGCTTGCACCAACCAATTTTCAGTATTTTATTTTGAAATGCCTTTTAAGAGTGCATTTATGTCACATATTATAGATGCTGCTCAATACAGTCAAGCGCGTCATTCTATTCTAATTTAAGTAGCCCTGATTTAAGAGTTACAGTATTTGTATTTTACTGCCTATGACCTCATTGCCTTATACTGATGTTTAACTGATGTTTTTCAATGAAAAGTACGTAAAGTATAAAGTGTAAGTCAAGAGGTCCATAGCAATTTAGAAAGGTTATGTCACAAGCAATACCTATGTTCAATATGAACATCTTTTCACATTTAATCATAATGAAAAAGCTAAACGTTTTTGATAAGTAAGCCAGACTTCAAGTTCATCACAGAATACAAAATGATATCTTCTTATTTGAAACGAATTTTTTTGTTTTAAATATAATACTTTTATGACACTTTAAGGAAATACAACTGTGCGGATGATGATGGCACATATATGTACATTACATACTCTTTGCAACTATATTTACTTCATGTCAACTGATTATATCAATCTAATGAAAATAAATATGTACAGTAAATAAAAATTGTATTCTCGCAAGCAATATTAATCTTACTTATGTTCATTGGTGTTTTTACCAGAGTTGTGGTATGAAATGAAAACAACCCTGTTTCGTTCCTTGTTGAGGACTTGCAGTTTCAGAGTTACGATTAAAACTGCCTCGTTAATGGATGTTTAGGACAAGACATTGGAAATAAATAATGGACACAACCTCTACAAACGCCACAACAAAAAACAAATACAAAGGGCATTACGTGGAAACAAAATCAAGAAAAAATGGACGTTAAATGTGAAAAGAAATACAAGAAGAATTAGAAGTAAAGGAAAATTTGGTAAAACAAGGGGAATTAAATAATAAAAGCGGAACAGACAGACAGGGACATGAAGACGACTTTAGCTTGCATCGCGGAAGCGATTTCTGGTAATTATATACTTATAAAATAATTTTATTGCCCAAGACATCTTATAGCATTTAGTAAATATAACAAACATCAACAAATACGTTATGTGGCATGCATCATGAACGTGTTCACTGTTATACCACCCTTACACCATTTCCTAAATGACTAAAAAAGTAAATGATGCATTAAAAATTAAGAACTTTCAATTAAAATCCATTACCTTTCTTTAGATAAAATGTCGTCTGATGTTAATTTCAGGATTATAAACATATGATCAAATAAAATAAACTTGTTTCTCACTTCATTCTAAGAAAATGTGAATTTCTAGGTTGTTTTTTTTTCCCATAAACTATCCAAGTGCTCATTTGTATTGACACTTGATATTGTATTTAGACAAAGATATATTTCTAAGGCCAAAGGAACAGAAAAAACTGGGATTTAACAATTTCTTTTTAAGTAATCAGGCCATGGAAAGGCAAGAAGATATGAAAGACAAAACAGATTTTGAGGACTTGGGTTGTGGTAGCGACTTTTGGTAATGAAAATCGTTTTTCATACTTAGATTGCTTAACTCTATTTTCTATATCTTTCTGAAAACTCAATTACAATTATCGTTACGGTATTTAAAAGGGATTTTTTTTGGGAGAAAATATGTTTGATAAAATCCAAAAAGGAATTTTTAATCTTTAAATTTACATTATTAAAAAGTGTTTTAAGGCCTTTGGTGCTTTCTTTTCGAGCTCAATATTAAAAAATATAAGTTCGATTATTTGTTTTTGTTTTTTTTTTTCTTGAAAAAGGTATAAATTTGGGCAAAATTTTACAGAATACTATTTATCTTTGACCAAGGTGAGCAGCGCCCCAGAATACAGTACTTGTATTGCGTAATTTATAGAAACTTAAGGTTACCTTTGATTAAAAAAAGCTTTGCTATTTTCTTTACCCCCCCCCCCACTCCCTAGAAAGTGTGTATTATAAATTAAAAGAAATATACATGCGATGTTGAGGAAAAATATTGAATTTCTTTTCCTTATTCTATACTGATCATCAAAAAAGAAACAATATTCAAAGTTTATAAAGATAAATATTACATTTGAGTTTGACTTAAGATAAATATAATAGAATATTATGAAAAGTTTTCAGTTTATCCCAAATTATTCCAGTGTTTCAGACCAACAAGAAGAGACAGAAGAGTTGAATTGTGGTAGTGACTTCCGGTTAGTATTTGTAATGAATATTCCCTTTTCATTTATCATGTCAGGTTTTTCTATGTCCTTATCCCACTGTGGAACATAGAGATCCCTCACTACTCCATGGCCCTGAGTTCCAAGTTTAAGTCAAAATGTTGCTCTCCAACGGTAAATGGTGGCTTTTCCATATGGGTGAACTATTATCGAGATGGGTTAAACAACAAAACAACAAAAAATAAACAGGGTACAGGTACACCTAATTTGAAATATCAATATGCTTTTTCACACTTTTTGTTTCATTAAAGGGAGTCGAGTTTACTGTGTTAAAATTATATCAGGGAAACTTAACCTCAACACCATATGAAATTTACATTTTCAGTTCAAGGAAATCAACTATCTTGGTTGTTTAAGAAGCAGTCTCAAAATGCATGTGCATTTACTGTAGCTATATATGGGGAAATGTTTTTTTTTTTTTTTTTTGCACTTTGGAGCGAAGTATTTAAAACTACTATGAACAGTATGCTCTAATTTTATTATGAGCAAATGATAAACAATACCACATTGCAGATAATATGTGTGAAAATAAAAGTCTATTGTCTTGTGTCCTGGGGATATCAAAATGACAAAACTAACGAAATTTTCCTGTTTTATAGAGCACTACAAAATCCGAGACACAGAGAATTTATTCAAAAAGAATTTGGAGATTACTTTTGAGATTCTCGATTTTTTGTGCTTTAAATTTCAAGAGCTATCGTAATATATGTTTTGTTTTTATTACATTTTTATCATTCCATTCAAAGAGCAATTTTAACTAACCTAACAAACAACCTATTGCAATGTCAATCTACTTTTCGGTTGAATGATTGTTTTAAAATCAGTAATATAAAAATTCTAATATGTTTGCCAAAACGTTGCTTAAAAGGAATTAATTTTACTTTGATGCACAAAGTATTGAGGAATGGAGACCCCAGACGCCTACCCTAAAAATATTTGATTATATTACGTACGCAAAGAATGTAAAACTTATTGCTTAATTTATATTAAAATCATTGTATTTTAACATTCCTGACTACTCATTTACTTGAAAACAGATATACGGGGGATTATTTAAAATGAACAAGAGGTACATGTATTGTGAGCAATGAGCTCCCTAAACGATACCCCGCCTCCCATATGAGAATAAAATGGCAGTGTGAGAGGAGTTGCGGATAAGAAATGGGTACCCCAAGGCGTAACAGACGGACGGACAGATGGATAGACGGACGTACTGACGGACATACCGATTACTATATACCCTCTCGCTTTTCAAGCGAGGGGGGTTATAAATATATGGAGATAGCGAACAGTATATCAAAAGTCCATAAAACAATACATAATAGGAGCAAACAGGGACCTCTAAAACGTCAGAGGTAAGATCATGTGCCATGGAGGAGTAAGCATTCCCCGCAGAAAGGTCACACCCACCGTTTGCTCCTTGTCATGTTCGCAGAATGTAATTTCACCACTTTTATATAATACTTTCCTATCAAAAGTTCTTATCAATGTCGAAATGTGCTCACCTATAAATCTACCCTAAATTTTCATATATATATAACTTCAACATTTTTTTTTCAAATATGTTTAAAAGTACAAGATTTGATCTTATATATAGCCACATGACAACAATTAACTGTTTTAATCTAAAAAATAATATTATCTTGAACAATTTTATTTGAATGTTTATCCTAATTCCAATTCTATATTTTCTAGCAATCCCTCTGAATTATACTTAAGTTCAAAAGAACTAAATTCAATCTGATATTTTTTCCCAGGTATTAGTTATCAAGAGCAAAAAAGTGCAAGTTAAATGGAGCCTGTCATCATCAAGAGAAAGTATAGCTGAATATGCTCTGTAAAAGGAATGAGCTTTATATAATTATTTTGTAGCCGAAAAATCTGAAATTTATTAATTATTTAAAGGTTAGTATTCAACACCCAGGCACACATATTTTTATACAATGATCCGTTACTTTTAAACTCACATTCTGTGCCCAGTTTTAAAATGCAAAAACATGATGGTTTTAAAAACCCGAACATGTTTTTAGTTTTTACCGTGTCTAATTCTAGGGCTGAAATTTTGGAACTGTACCCTGCACTTAAGCCTTTAGGCAGTGGGATTTTTTTTGCCAGCCCGTACTGAAACATGGGGCCTCGATTTATCAGGTTGTGAACACTCGCCAAAATGGGATATAATAAACTGTTTGGGATAGAATATCCCAAATGGGATATAATTCACAGTACAATGCTGTTTTTATGACCCCATCTGACCGACTGGTGTCCACCTTACTCAATGAAATTAAAAAAAACGAAATCAATAATTTTCAAATAAACTAAATCCCAAAAATTTAGAAATCCTATGAATATTCAAATATCTTTTCAGTGCTCTTTGTGTCGAACATCTGTTGTACCTGCTGAATATATAGTTTATGTACAAATGCCCCAATGTGTGTATACATGTGCTAAGAAATCTGAATAAATTTTAAATTTACTTCCAGTAATGATGTATATTGTAGATTAACAAAATCCTCGCCTGACGATTCTGATTTAAGTGTTTCACACAAGCTAAGATGTACAACGCTTAATACAGACGAAGCAACGCAGGTACAATATCAGTTTTGCATGTAATCAAAAATAAAAGACATGAGTACAAGAGGTATGTTAATATTATCATTATAATTAACGTATATAATCCCCCACCCACCCAATAAAAAAGGAAATAAAGAAAAGAACAATTCTGTTATAATTTGCTATTCGTTAAAATGTGCACGTCAGTCATTTTTCTTTTATGCATTACATCTTTCAACTCATAATAAATAAGCATTTGTTGCACACATTTTATTGTTTTCATCAAGGGAAAGGATAGTACATGCTCATTTTTAAAGACATTTTCCTTTGTAGGCACTTTCAAGTCTTCAAATAAGTGTAGACAATTTTCTGGAAGAAACAACAGATGCTCTTTTTCAATATATACACAGTGCAGATTTCAAGTCGAGGGTTCTCCAAGATATTGAAATACACACGCGCTTTACAATTGAAAGAGAACTTGATAGTCGCATAGAAAAAGCGACTCTTTTTTGGCAACAAGAAAACATTCCAAGGATATTTACAAGCCATATATCACAAACTCTTACAGAAAATTTCATTGAAATTCACAAGTCCTTGCACAACATTAAGGACAATATGAGAGGATTTAAGTCTCCATTTGACGTTGAAGACAAACTTGGTTCTGTTCTTCTCTCGTTGGTTGGTACGAGTGGTACCTCCGTCGCTGGAAGCGTGGCAATGATGTATATGTCTGTAAGTCCTAGGGCTAGACAGGCATTGGCAGCGGCTGGAGTTGTAAGTGGTCTTGTCGTTACTGGATTAGTCATTGGCGTCTTTGATGACTACGAAACTGTATTGAAGAATGCTTACAAAGCTAGAATTAATAAGTTATCAAAGCCCAAAAAAAAGCAAACATTGCGTAAAACATACGAAGAAAGATTTATAAACATTATTCAAAGTTATCGTGAGGGATATTGTTGATTTGTCGAGAAATGTTGAAACAACGCAGAGCAAGATAAAATAATTAGTGTTTGAGAAACACTGATGCTTGTGCGTGACAACTTATACATGCACATAGTGAAGGCTAAACTTTCTCAAAAGCAAATCAAATGTACGTTTGTTGGTGCCCACAGTAAGGATTTCTCACTAGAAATACAAATGTGAAATATGACGCCCTAGCACCTTATGTGACCATGGTTAAAGTTTTTTTCAGTGGGTCAAACTCCATGGTTAAGGTTAAAGGGTTGTTGTTATTAAATGGAAAATTTCAATCACCTAATTATTTTCTTTCTTTTATCATTTCAAAATGGAATGTTCTGTACGAAAAAAAAAAGAATTTTAATTTACAATTTTTAAAAACTTGTTCCAAACATTTGCAATGCTTGATTCTTTTTTATAAATTTTAATTTGGTATGTAAGTTTTTCAAATATTGCGTAAATTCTACAGATACATGTATTAAGAAACTTTTACAACCTTATTTTTTAAAATATATATTGCATGTATCAAATTTCAAATTTCTCGGAATTTTTTTTTTCAGATCATCGAAGCCTTTAACACGTTTTTATGATGCGTTTTGTGTAGAGATGCCATCAAGAAGCTATTGATATGCTCCGAACTTGTTTCAGTAATACGAGCTACATACCCTAGGCTTGTAAAGTGGGAATCGCATGGTCTGATGTCTGTATTTTACAAGGACCCCTATGCTTGCAAAAAATCAAATCAAATGTGCAGACCCTTATCAAAAGCAAGGCGTTGTTTCTTTAAAAAAATATTAACTTCATTTCATTCCTATATACGTTGACATTCCTAAAAATTTATACAAAAAACCCTGCTGCAGCAATAAATAAAGTGGAAAACAAGAGATGTAACACACTTATACCCCCTACCCCAAATAATTGAAACTGTTCTAAGTCAAAAATGCAAAACTCTGTCAAAAATGATTGGATCGTACCAAAATCAGAAATAGATATAGATACATTTTTCTTTTAATAAATCTTTTGAACAAATATCATTTCAGTAAGTGCAACCGCTGTAAACAAAATAAACGGACACTGCAAATTATTGAAATGTTTCTACGTCCAACGGGCATAACTCTGTCCAAAATGGTCCGATTATACCAATAACAGAATTTGACCTGGATATTCTTATGGTAAATGTGTATATCAAATTTCATCTCAATATGTGCAACATTTGTGTAGAAAATAAATAGAAACTGCAAGTTATTTGAATTTTTCTGAGCCCAATGAGCATAATTCTGTCGAAAATGGTCCGAACGAACCCAAAACAAAACTTGACTTGAATATTTTTATAGTCAATCTGTAACAATTTTCATTTCAATATGTGCAACCTCTGCGAGGAAAATGAAGGGAAACTGGTAGTGGACAGACAGACAGACCGACCGACAGACATCAGGAAAGCAATATATATTTTAATTTATAAGTAATGTTATATTATTTTTATGCGCCCGAATCGATAGATTAGGGGCGTATATTGTTTTTTCCTGTCTGTCTGTTTGTCTGTTTGTCTGTTTATCTGTTTGTCTGTTTGTCTGTCTGTTGTCAACTTTAATCTTCGCCATAACTTTTGAACCGTGAAAGATAGAGGCTTCATATTAAGTATGCATACTCCACTAATTAAGCACTTTCAACTGACACCAAGATCAGTGACCTTGTGACCTTCCTGTGACCTTTACGCTAAAATTAGCTTTTCCGAACTTTTGCCATTACTTTTGAACCATAGGAGACAGAGTCTTTTTATTTTGGTATGCATACTCCGATAATTAAATTCTTTCAAATAACCCAAGGTCAATGACCTTGTACCCTTGACTTTGACCTATAAGCTAAAAATAACTTTTTCAAACTTTCGCTTTTATTTTTGAACCAAAGCGGATAGAGACTTGATATTTGGTATGTATACTCCACTAATTAAATGCTTTCAAATGACCCCACAGACAATGATTGTGTAACTTTGACTGTGACCTATTTGCTAAAAATTGCTTTTTCGAACTTTGTTGCCGCTGGGCGTATAGTGTTTCACAAACACATCTTGTTGATTTAAGTTTTACTTTTCCTTTTTATAGATATGCTCAAAATAAGCAAATCAACAACTCAAACTCATTGTTGAGTTCAAGGGTGGAGATTATTTACAAACATTTATGTTTATCGAAAGATTGAAAATATCTATATGCAGATTCAATACAATTCACAACCTTTTTTTCTTATTTAGATAAGTTTTTTAACCATTTTACTGGAAGACATGAAATGTACAGTATGTGAAAATATGTTGGCCGTTGAAATATTGTGCAACAAGCATGATACGTGCGGTGTACTTTTTTAATTTCGTTATCTCCCTGTTGTTGATAATTCTAAATGCTTTAAGTAGTACACACATACATTGACTTATCCTCGAAATAAATGCATATTGCCTATTAAGAAATATTAATCTCAGAAGATGTTCTTTTAAATGGTTTCTGTTCAGCAGTGTGTATTGCCATGCATATTCGCTTGTATGAAAACGTAACTATAGACTTATTTGGTTGTATACTACGAGGAATGTCATATGCATACAAGCGTACATATAAAAGTTAAACCCTTATATAAAAATAACAACACTTGTACTGTTACCCATCACCCACTTATCTTGCTTTCAGAGTTCTGAAATCATTGTATATGAATGTTAGATGAGTCTTTCCTATTGATTATTCATACAATGAAAGTTCATACAATGATCACACTCATTCATTCACTTAATTTTAAAACGTATTTCATTTAGTTCTGACAGCAATTTTTATTCAAGTATTTGACGCTCACATTGGTAAAAAAAAATTTTGTTAAAAAAGTTTTGAAATTCGTCTCAATTTGAAAAAAAAAACTAGCCTCAAATTTAAAACTTATTCATATCAAAGGTAAATATTTAAAATAGCCGATAAAATTTTAAAGTCCATGATTACGCATTTTCCTGCGGTTGTTGAAATGAATAAGATTTAGTATCATTCAAATATCATTATACCGGTATTTGAAGTAAAAATTCTATTAATTTCACCTATGAGAATAACCATATTACACTGATTGACATGTTTCATTCTAATTGTTAGTCTATCATTTATACACTGAATTGAAGACGAATTTTTCCATTATTTCCAAATCACGACAAGGAGCATACGGTGAGTGTGACCGGTCGGCGAACAGGGGATGCCCACTCCTCTATAGCACCTGATCCCACTTCAGGTGTTTTTGAGGTCCGTGTTTGCTCTGTTCATATTTTGTATTGTTTTAATGGACTTTGATATTGAATACTGTTCCTTATTTCCATATCCTTCATAGATTGATAGTTGTTTTACGTCCAATTCGACAATGTTTCACTTATATAGAGAGGTCACCATATATCGGTGAGGGGCCTCAAATTTTAACTTTTACTTGGTATTTACGGCTATTAAGCATTGAAGGATCTTTATCGTACTAACCTTCACCGTGACATGAGGTCTCGGTTTTTAGGTCTTATACGAAAGATCCACAACTTTCAATAAAACGGTATCAAATACATAGAGGTGGAACATTTTCTCTCCATCATTTTTATCGACTTAGGTAAGTCGAACCCGAAATTCGAAATCACGACCTTCCGAACAAGGACCTTGCTCCACGGGCTGAACTACCGTGACAGTGCCTTGTTTTGAAAGTTATCGTCTTTTAATTCAGGGTAGTTTTTTGATATTACAAAAATAAATAAACAAGAGGCCCATGGGCCTTATAGGTCACCTGAGTATCATGCGACAACGTTCCAACAATTAAATTTGATTCGTGTTTTAAACCAGAGTTTATGAAATTCACAATTTTGAAAGAGGCGTCATTGCTCATCATAATTATACACTCAGCATGCTTATTTTGGTTACTTAATACCCAGAGGTAGATCAGAGTAACAAAGAGAATTGCATTTCCACTTAGTGAATTTCAGGGCCTCTGGATCAGGGTGTCCTGTGTTAGGGCGGGTCCACAGTTCAGCTCCAAATCCCACAGGAACCACTAACCCTAGGACCACATCTTTCAATTTTTTGGATTTTTTAAAC